ATATGAATATTATATTCATTCGTACCAAAAGAAACTTTAACTTAATCATTCTAAATTTCATCTATAGTTAACCTATTCCTGCTTTTCCCCTATATCCATTGTCGTCTGACTGGAAGGCATTTTCAGGTTCGTTGGACAACTTGGCACACCGGTAGCCAAAGTAATCGAGAAATATATATTCAAAGTTATTTCGTGTTTTCTTACCCAGAGCCCCACCGTGCTGCAGCTGTGCAAGAGTTACGATATTGGTGTCGTGGTTACACGAGCTATTGCTCCACCTCGAGCTCCGTAGACGAGAATTTAGAGAGAAAGAAAGAGAGAGAAAGAGAGAGAGAGAGATAGAGGGAGGAAGAACGAAAGAAAGAGAAAAATAGAGAGAATTAGAAAGAGTTAGAGAAATAGAGTTAGACAGATAGATAGACAGAGAAAGAGATAGAGAGAGACAAAAGGAAGTTATTCGCGAGGTGAGGGAAACAAAAGGAAGATCCGTGTAAGATAAATCTTTCCATGTAAAATATTGTGTATGTATATGTGTATATATATATACGCGTATGTATGAATGTGTGATGCACGATATGTATAGTAGATATGTTGGTGGATAGAGGGCGAAACGATCGTGAGACGAGCCGAACTGATCTCCTGTGTGCTAGTGTTGGAGGGGCCGGAAGTCCAAATTTCTTTGATGTTCTCGCGCTGGTCGCCGATGCACAGATAACCTTATGCGCTCCTCTCCCATCTCTGGAAAACGATGATGACCCAGCTTTTCGTGCTTTATTATTCCGGTTAACTAGGTTACCGGAATCGGTTTCAACGCCGGTCGTTGCGATGGAAACGGGTCTAAACTGGACCGAGTTACACATGTATGCGTGTGTTTCGCGTCATTGAATAAAAAATTTTGATCATTGGAACGTTTAAAATGTTTCGAAATGAAAGAAAAAAAAAATTTTTTTTGAAATTTTAATTTTAATATTTTGGATCGCACGGTTGAAAGGTGCTTCGAATTTCATATTTCAATTCGGAAATTCTCGATTAATCAAACGAAAATAGACTCGTTGAATTAGATTTAATCCTCTGGTGACGTTACATTTGTTTTAAATATATATATAAATGGATTGAAATACATAAAATATAGGAGATAATGGAAATATCAGGATGGAGTAGTAGATATGGAATATTTTGATAATTTGAATGATTGGTTAATTGATTACAAAATTTTAATAGATTGATAAATTAACAATGTATTCACGACTTCAAGAATACTTTAAGATATTTTGTATGTAAAAATGAATATGCCGAAATAACTTAATTAATGACTAAACAGAAACTCAAAGTTTTGGGTTCGACTTTAGCCAATTAATTCTTTCTCCTTGCAGTTCCAAAGCCGGGTTTATCTTAGTTTCCATGCTGTTTCGAATTCTCGATCCGTGGCTAATCCCGATAGCTTAATTAATTGCGAAACGAACATCCAGATTCTAAAGTTTCGTTTTGTGTCGGTAAATTTCTCCTTCGAGTAATTTCGAAATGGAATTTTCTCTTCACCGATTCAATTGTTTGGATAACAAATATCCTGGAAAAATATCGAAAAGAGAGATGTGTAAACCAATAAATAAAAAAATTATTCGATTTTCAAATTTAGATATTAAGAAAAATATGGAAGAAAGGAATGAATAAATAGAATTTCAAATTTTCCTTTTCTTTAGAAATAATTGAATTTAAAAATAAAATTTTCTTCTCCTCTTCGTGATTTCAAGATATCAAATATTAAGAGAAATATAAAGAAAGAAATAATATAGAATAATTAAATTTCTCTTAAATTTCTCTTAAATTTCTCTTAAATTTCTTATTCTATTATTTATTTATCTTTATTATTATTCTTAAATTTCTTCAAATAAAATTTTTTCCCCGATTTAATTATTCAGATATCAAATATTTGAGAAAAATAAAAAAAAAATTAAAAAAAGAACGATTGGAATTAATTAATATAAACTGGTGTAAATTGAATTCCTATATATATCATTATTTTACCTTCAAATAAAACTATACATAACTGTACATGTATGATATAGATATTAAAAGATTAAAATAAAATCTTCTCAACTCTGATTTATTTGCTTATGCATAAAACATTAGGAAAAATATCAAAAAGAAAATAAACTAAACTAAATCCTTATTGAATGTTTTAAAAATAAAATTTCATTCAATATCAAAAATATATAAAAAAGAAAAAAATCTCTGAACAAAATTTCGATTTTCTATCCCAAAACTCGTTCAAATTATTACAGAAAAAAAAAATTATAAAACATAAATATAACATATTGTCATCAAAGGATTAAACTCGATCCAAATTCCATCTATTTGTGCTTTCAACGAGCCTATTTTCAATGAATATTCAACTTCGAATGGAAATTACTCTTCAGATCTCATATTTGATCAACTACCGCGAATGTCTCTGTTCCAATCCATATTTCGAAATCAATCGTCCTCGATCACGAAGGCGGCCGGTCACGAAGGACAGGCAATATCGCGTTCACACATGGAACGCGTTCCATTTTCGTCCTGAAAGAACAATTAGACGTAGATTTTGTTGCGTCAACATGCAGGCGGTGCGATTCGTTCCGTTTCTCTTTTCTCATGCATTTTCAAGTGCATCGAGCTAAAGGCAATTCTCAGACGCTTATTAGTCGCTCATTCCACGAGGCACAGAGGATGGATTCGATGAAATGAGTACATATTTATAGAATATATCGGAGAATATTCGCGTCACGTTTAATCAAAACCATTGAACGAAACGGCGTATCGCGAGCAAATTAATTTCGAGTCGAGAAATCGGCGAATTATCGCGGATAAATGTTTATCTTTCGACTTTCGAATTGTTTCGCATTGAATAGCTTGGAAACGAACGTGTTCTATATGTCGCAACGACTTTACGAATTATGGATATTTTATCGTTAATTATTAAACAGTGGATATAATTGTGAACCGATTTGACCCGTGAAATGAACATTTTTTTCGAATCTAGTTAGAAATAAGGTTACAGAAAACGCGAGAATCGCGTAGATGAGACGAGATATGAGTGACAGTGATGACAATAACGAGAGGAGCGAAGATTATTGCGTGCATGTGCAGTGACCAGTGGTGTATACCTATAGAGGCTAGGCTTTAAGATCGTGAGCAAAGAACCCCACGCGTGATCTATTTATATATATTTATATATATATATATACAAATCGTGACATGACTTCCTAACCATTCCACAAGAAAGCCTGCGGGGAAGCGACGAAAAATCGGCACGACAAAAATATGGAAAAAATTTCCAAAGTTTTAGATATTATAATATGCTTCTTTTGTAATATCTTCATTTATCAAAATATTAAACCTCTATTTTTTGAATGAATATACGTTTTGAATGCGAGAAATAGAAATTACGAATATATTGTAAATAAATTCCTTGATTAAAAAAGTAAGATGCTATTTTAAATTTTAAGAGAAAAGTTTTCAAATTTAAGAAATCAGGTATATCTATATACTTGATAATAAGATTTTTTAGAATTGATTCTCTTACAGTCGAAGTTTCCCGAAATGTAAGTCACGTTTTTTCGAGAAAGCATCTCAATGTTTTAGAAATATTGCAGCTAGTCCCAAGTTTGAATAATATACTGAACAGGAAGCTGAAATTTTTGCGAAACGTTGAAATATTTTTTGCAAAAGATACCAGGTTACATTTGAAAATATGAACTTGGATTTTTTATGGACTGACTGAGAATGAATCTTAATAAAAATAAAGAATTTTCATAAACTCATTTGAAACTTTTAAATAAATCATGCGACTGAAGAATTTTTCAAACTGGTTTGGAAGATATATCGAGAATCAGTTATTGATTATATAGTATTATACGAGCATCTCATCAAAATTATCCAATTCTCTCATAAGATTAAGCATACCCTTTTAAAAATTAACAATTAATTATTCGTTATTAATCAACAAAAGGAACAACAAACACTTAATGCTTCTATTATATATTCATAGAAATTTATATTAATTACGTAATAATTTCATAATACTAACTAATTTTTAAATTAAATATCATAAAAGAATAAAAAAAATATAATAACCGGTGAACTTTAATACGAAAAAAAAAACATTACATTAATCAAAATCACACGAGCCCGAATGGGATCTCGAAAGGATTGAAAATCGTTACAGTAAAACATTACTCGAGGCGTTCTACCTTCGACAAAAAAAAAGAAAAAGAAGAAAAAAAATATTCGATCAGAATCAGGAAAAATTCCATCTGCTCGAGTGTACTCTCTGTGCCGAAGCTAACCCAGTTCCTGCTGCTTGATCATTCAAGTCGTCGAGAAGCACGCTAGAGGGAGCTAGAGGGGGTGGTTCCGGGGGTTGAAGGCCATAATCGAGAAACTGGATGGCAGTCTGGGAAAAATACTCGAAACTTTTCATCGTCGTGCCGATTTCCCCCCGTTTCGACCCGCGTCGCGAGGTCTCTCTCGACAGAAAAGACAAAGAAAAGAAACCAAATGGAAAGAAAAAGAGAGAGAGAGAGAGAAAAAGAGAGATAGATAGACAGATAGAGAGAGAGAGAGAGATAAAGATAGAGAGTGGAGATAAAGGTACGTGAGTGGTTGGTGAAGAAAAGTTGGTGCTCTGGTGATCGCTCCTCGCTAAAAAGCTAAGTTTCGCGTGAGATTTTTAGCCAATTATATATAATATATATTATATATAGAATAATTATACAGGTGCGTATCAAATGGCGGGCGAATCAGCTTGAAAGAGAGCGAGCTTTACGAGCTTACTCTGTGTTGTGCTTCATTCACAAATCAATCTTTCTTGCTTTTTATTCGTTATTCTTTTTTTTTTCTCTCTTTATCTTTAATTTTTTTTTCTTTTGCTAAATTTTGTTTCACTTTATTTTATTTATTTATATATAATATTTTTTTTTTTGTTGTTGATTCGTTTGAAAGCTTTGGATACTGAGGCTTACCAGGTGGGACTCTGGGCTGGTGAAGGAGACCACGGTGCCGTGAAGTCGCCCCGCACTTATTGTCGCCGTAGACTTCTTAACACACGTTGCATAGGTCCAATTGCACGTGTTCGGGCCCGATTTTCAACCACGACCACGAGGGCGAGAGGCAACAACATTGAGAATCGAACTTTAGAAATTTTTTTTTTTTATTTTTATTTTTTTATTTTTTTTTACGAATTACGGACGTAAATCATCGTAGGATACTGGATGCTTCTCTGAAATGTGCCGTTTCTTTGTTTTCTTTTATTATATTATTTATTCATGGTTCGTTACTTTCCTCCACGTGATTCGATTCGAGTTTGAGGATTCAATTCGTTCGATTAAATGACAGGGTGGATTGTCATCGATGGAACGAGAAACGCGTCGCGATTCGTTTATCGATTTATACAGAGGATAATCGCGTGAAGAAATTTCTAAAAATCCTGGTCTGAAAAAGAAGATGGATTAGTTGATATTAAATCTGTTGATGGGATTCGAATTTTTCTCCCTCTGACGATTCCTGGTAAAATTGAGTTAGAATTATAATTATTTGTGAACTTATACCTAATCTTAACATTAGAACAATCAAACTTTTTGAAATGATTTTATATTTCTTGTTTTGTTATTATTGACAACATGTCTTTGTATATTTTTACAACATTTTATTTTTATAACATTATTTTAATTACATGTAAAATAAATATTACAGTTTGCTAGTTCTAGTGTTAATATTTTAAAATTGAATAAAAAGGAGAATTTGTGAATTTTAAAAATTTCAATTTAAATTGGGAATATATCTGACATAATATGATTAATTTCTTCAAGATTAACTCTTATGTTAATATACTCAGATTCCAAATTTGTTATTTTTTCTTTGAAAGATTTTCAAAATCATTTAAATCGTTCTTATTTGTCGTAATTATTATCGATATTGTACAATAAGCTTACAATTTTATTATTATAAAACTTAAATTTGATTATTGACGTATAATCAATTCTTTTTACTTTATGAATAGATAAATCGATAAAGCTTAGTAAAAAAGAAAAAGCGAAAACTGTAATGAAACTAATTTAGCAAACAAAAGAAGAAATCAACTTAAAAAGATAAAATTCCTAATTCCATTACGGGTCATGGAATTTTTCAAAATTTCTCAATCGACTATCCAACCAATCCGATGGAATATCGAACAATATCTATCTTTCTTAATCGAGCTTCGATTATTCTCTGTATCGAAACACGTTGTGTTCATCCTTTTCTGGCTCAGAATCGCGGAACAACAATTATCATCGCACGACTGGCTAACTTCAAATCGGTTTGAACGAAATCGTTACTCTCGTACCTGTGATCAACAACAAATTCGTAAAAGAGTGGGGTGTGCACGAATTTCATGGTATCTCGAATTTATTGGCCCCGATTATTTCCAGATCCGCGCGTTTGATTATCGGCCGACATTTACACGGTTCCGCGTGGCTTACATTGTCTGACATATGCACGTCGAACAAGGAATAAATTATCGCGACTTTATGGCTTTAAAACGATCCCATTCCTGAAATTTAGCTCATTGAATTTCGCGCGCGCGTTAATTCTTAATTAACGGCCCCTCTTCAATTCGATGCTACTATTGTAATGTATCGTTTCATTTAGTTAAATTTAGTTTAAATTCTACTATTTTACTATCTTTTTTTATTTCTTTATTTTTTTTTGGGATGTTTTCAGTGAGCGATTATATTATAATTGGTATCACTTGATGCACGCGTACAAGCGTTTTTATAATCAAGATTTATGAATTTGTTTTGTCCATGACAATTTGCAATAGAATAGATTTTTTTTTTAGTTGACGAACGTTTTTATTTATTTATTCATTTTATCAATAGTGCCATTTCTGGATATTTTTTTATATTGAATCATTTATGAATCGCGTAGATACATATGTAAATTTTCAATTTATTTTAAATGTCGAATTGATTATATTTTGTGTGATTTTAAAGTTTCGTATTTTTTAAATACGAAGAAATATTTTTATTCAACTAATAATTACGAAAGAATTTGTTTCATAAAAAGTAATTGAAAATAATTGAATTGTAGAAATCATTATACGCTGAATCATTCACTTGAAATTCTTTTTTTACTATATTGTAAAAAACTTAATAGAAATGATGATGATAATAACAACACGTATCTTAAATTATACTAATTGTAAAAAAGAAAATGTTTTTTCACAAAGAAACAAAAAAAAATAAGTACATATGTTTCATTTTAATGAAAACAATACAAAATTTCTTTGATGAATTCTAAAATGTCGAATTAAATTTATATTGATTCATAATATTTCTCAAATTTTCAAAGATCTCATAAAAAGATATGTACACAATCGCAAACAAATAATAAATAAATTTCTGGCATACATATATCGAATGTTTGCCACTATGGAATACGAAATATCACAATGCACGGATACGTTTGCATTATAAGTCTTTTTTAAAAGGCAATACTTACCAATTAAAAGTTAAAACGTGTCACCGGAATGAAATTAATTCGCAAATTGGACGCGGTCTTGTGTCTCACTGAATTTTGAAAATTTACACGCTAATTAAAAACAAATTATATACAACAATTACTTCGCATTTGCACGCGCGTTACGTTTTAATGTTATGCATATCAATGCTAATGCAATGTTCGAGATTTTAATTCTTATTGTGCTGGCTACCATGCATATTATTATAATGATACAGCGCGATTACTTTAACGATAAATAAAATCTTCGATATGGAAAACGTTCGTGAAATAAATATATTCATACTGTGTGAATATCCGATAATAATATAAAATTCAGAAAGTATCGTGAATTATTGTAATAATGCGTTGAATCATTTCCTTGTGAGCAAATAAATAAATGTATGTAGCAAATAATTTTCGATGATCACGTTATACGCGTGATTAAATATTAAAAATCTGAGGGAACGAATGAAAAGAAATATGAAATTTATTTTGAAAATAATAAAAATTTATACAGTATGATTTTAATTGTTGAATATTAATAGATTAGATTATTTTGTTATCTATTTTTCACGTTCATATATTTATAAATAACTTATGAATAATTATTACCAATCATTTATATTATTTGTCTACGATTATGTTTATTACTATTCATAAAAGCATAGATCGATAAATATATCATTTATCAAAATTTTATTCTCAATCATACAAGTTTATCCAAAAGCGTCATTTTAAAACACAAATACCATCGCAATGCAAAATCCATGATATTTATATATATTATGAAATACAATAATATTTATTATTATGCAAATATATACAATAATATTTGCATAATAATAGCTCTTTGCGATATTGTTTTTTCTCCTCGTTTCATTATTGATACAATTAAAAAAAAAAAAGAGAAATGAAAAAGAAAAAAATTTCAATTCAAAGATACGACACTCGATTCGAATAATAAATGCTCCTCCTACAACATCCTCCTACGAACCCCCTCATTCACCCCCTCGCCGCCACTATTTTTTGATTTCCCATTAAATCCCTGGAGCGCACGCATTACAGAGCAATTTCGTCGAGACATTAATTCACTTTAATACCGCCGCCGGGTTTGTGATACGATTTCCATTGTCGGCGCTCGAACGATCTCCTGCCAGAATTTCGCCAATTATCGATTCGTTGGCTCGCGGTTATTATTTCTCGGTGTAATTCGATTTTCGCCCGTGTATAATACGGCCCATCCCTCCTTCCTTTCCCCCAATGGCTGGGCACGCGAGCGTTTTAACGCGTCTCCCCATTGATTTATCGCCAACCAGC